CACACACATGTACATATGATAACTATGTGAGATGATGGATATCTTAATTTACTTGACATTTTTACTATCTGAGTATATATCATAATATCATGTTTATACCTTAAATACAAAAAATATAAAAACAAATGTGTAAATAAAATGTTTTTTGAATAAATAGAACATAAGAAAAAGGAGAACTCATCATTCTGTCCACCTAAAAGCTCTTTACTCATCAGTGTTCTTTACCAGTAAGGCTCATATAATCATATGCTTATTCCTCCCTCACAGTCTTTATTTGCATCAGATTCTAATTATCTACTAATGCTTTGTCTACCAAGAGGTAATGCATGGTTTGTTTAAAATGAAGTTTGGGGTAGGCAGGCAGCTATGGGTTGCTCCTTCTATTTTACCACACTTTGTCAGGATGGAGGCCTCTGCAGCAGTGACTTATGTTGCGCATGGCAGTCTGACCCACACCCATTTCAGACACCACATCCGGCTTCTTCCAACTCCCTCTGAATGTTTGGCAAAATACAGTTACTTAAGGTTGACATAACTCTGTAACTCATAACTTTGTTCCACACAAGTGGAACAAAGAGGTGAGCAGGGTATCCAAGAGCTGCGGGGGCAATATCTAACAGCAGAATCCTTTTAGGCAGAAGGACTGACACTGAGCTTAAATGCAGGAATCCCCACTTCAAGCAAAGTGACACAGATGTGGACTAAAGGCCATTGCACAATTGGAAAAGACAGATGGGTTGAGTGAAAGGTTCCCAAAATAGGTGATAGTTTGCTCATAGGCCAGGCTTAGGGACACTCCACAAACAGGACTTTCTGGGCCAAGAGTGACAACAATCATAGTTTGGAAAATATCACATGTCACAAAGGAAGAATTGGTCATTGTGAAACAGGCTTGTTAACACCCAAGCTCAATGTCAAAATGAGGCCCAGTGATCTCCTTGTTCGGCCTAAAGAGTGTCAGCCAGTTGGTATCATGAAAAATTCAGCATAACTATATAATCCATAACTGAATTTTGACACTTTATCCTGAATCTAATTTTTATTGATTTGACTGATAGCAGTGAATCCAGTACTTAACATATGAAAATATTGCTTAGAGAGCTGGCAAGAGTACACATCCAGGTTGCATTTATTTTTTATTCATTAAATACTTTTGAGTATCCCTTTGAATAAACAAACCATCAGGATAAGAAGAAGAGTCAATGTATATATAATGTATTAATGTAGAGATCCACTGTCTCTAGCCAATCTGTGGCTCTTACTGCCCTCCAGAAACTAAAATGTTATCAAGAACAAAAATAAAACTTATTGTGGATTTATTTGTAACTTCAGCTAGGATTGTAGCTCTGTTTTCTTGGAATTTAAAAAAAGTGAATATGTATATAGCAAAGGCAAATTTTTCAATAAAATTTCTAGTACTACCTAAGGGATCACACTGGCACCTGCAACTTGACACCTTTTCTCAGTGGAGGTAGGTCCTGAAAGGTCATGAAAAGGAAATTAGTCAATTTTCTAGAGATTACTATGTTTTCCCCCAAGTTCTTTTAATATTTTTTATTTCTTGAACACAAAGTATAAGAAGAGAAAAGCAGAATTAAATTAACTCAAAAGAGCCAATTTTTTCTATTCCTTAAAGAATACCCCAGACTAGACCAGACTTTCAAAGGCATAGCTTCCTGAAGTGGAAAATGTACAGCTATCCTGGGAACCTCCCAAACTTGTTTATAAAACCTGAGTTATAAATACCAAACAGAGATAGTCTATGATAATTTGATTTGGGGGTTATTATTTTCTACAAATGAAGGTAAGTCCCTAGATTCAAAACTACTCATAACTCCACTGTGAGACATCTAGTCCGAGAAATTGATCTACTTAAAAGTCACTTTTTTAACCACTTGCCCACTGGAAATCCAGAAAAAAATCTAGACAGTAGACACCTACATTTCCTTTCTCCTCATTCACTAAAGTGGGTACTGATAGTAGAGACCTTGAGGGTGCAGTCTGTCCAGGTGGTCTTAGACACACACATTTCTCATAGTTGGTTGGCCACCTCATTGCTTGACGACACATTCCATGTTATCCAAAGGACTTTTAGTGATGCGATTGTCTAGATAGATTTGTGGGATGGCAGATCAAAGGTGGAGATTTATCTTGAACATCAGTTCCTACAATTCTGGGTGAGTAGGCCAGGACATTTGCTTTCTGGGCAGGAAAGGTTCATGAAAGGGTTAGCAAGTTGGTAATGTTTGGGTGCCTTCTGTCTTTGCTAGAGGACTTCAGGTATAGGTGTTTTCACACGGGTACTCACTGCATAGTCACTTTGTTGCCTTAGCATTGCATGGCACCTATTATCATCCTCCTAGTTTCATCTCCTACTCTTGTCTTTATTCTCCATCAGAAGACCCCTTTTACAAGTACCACTATATGTCACCACTGGGCTACTCCCTGTTGTCACCAAGACGAGCCATCTGCTATACTGTCATGGTATATCTGATACTATGAACATCTCTGAGACCATAGTATCTATGAAGTCAGGATTTCACACACAGGATCTTCACTTTGAGGGTCCCTTCTGTAACAGGGAAGATTGCCCCTGGGAACCTCCTCTGTTCAACATAATAATTATTGTAATCATCATATGATGAAGATCATGCAATCTCAGAAGAGAAAATGGTCAGTTTTTAACCTCAGGAAGTTGAGAAAGGCAGCCAAGAAAAGATGACATGTTACGTGGACTTCAGAGAATGAACGGGAGCTGGCACTGGGACACAAAATCCACTCTGTTAGAGGAAAGAATACATGCAGTGTCTTCCAGGCTAAAACAGTGTCTCTTCCAGTCCCTCCAGAAATTTAAGGGGAGGTAGTCAGAAGCCACTCAGCTTTTAGTCCCAGAGAAGGGGCCAGAGCAGAGTCCCCTCACGCCCAGACCAGTGGCCCTTTCACTAACTGTTCTTGAGATCAGTTTGTTTGGGACATGGTTTCTTCTAGGTAAAAACAAACTTGACAAATGATTATCTGCCTACAGTTTTCTCTGTACATGTCAGTTTCTCTTGATGCTCTATAACTTTGATAATACAAAGCTTTAAATTACAATTTGAATTTTTGACTCCATTCCTCCAAATCTTGAGTACAATTGACTCTGTTAATGAATTTGCTTCTGACAACTTTGGAAATAAATGAGTTTGGGTTTGAGAAGAAAGGTCACCAGACTGTTGACATCTGACATAACAGTGTGACCTCTCACAAGGGGCCAAGTTTAGACTTCAAACATCCTATTTAATATCCAGTCCTAAGTAAATCTTCAAACTGACAATCAAGTACATTCTAAAATTTAACCCTTCTCCGCTTTACCACACTAAGGGATCTAATTTAAATAAAATAAATAAATTCTATTTATTTAAATAGAATTCTGATATCCCATGCTCTGTAGTAAAATATGTTGATCTTTAGGTTGAAAGAAGTATGTTTACAGTAGTCCATAATATGTTGACAATATTCCTCACACTTAACTTTCAGCAGGAGTTTGGACATCTTATGAATGCAAATTACAGCATCTCTCCTCTTGTATATTTTCTCTGTTCTGCCAAATGTATCCTCTAGAAAATACCACCCCCCAAAAACGTATAATACAAGAACTCTTGTAATTTTTAAATTTGCTAATAGCCACATTAAAAACTTTTTTAAACAGGTAAAATTAATTTGATAGTACATGTTATTTAATCCAATATAGCTGAAAAGTTACCTTGTAAGTGTGATTAATATAAAATATTTTAATGAGTTATTTTGTATTCTTGTTGCTGAACTAAGCCTTCAAAAATTGGTGCCTAATTACATATATAGCGCATCTCAATTTACACATTAAATTTTCAGTGGTCAATGTGAAATATAATCCTATCAAAATACTAAAGTTGTTTTTGGTGAAAATATTTTACAGTACTTCAGTTTTACAATTTAAGTTAATGAAAGTTAAATGAAATTTAAAATTCACTTTCTCAGTTATACTTACCATGTGTAGTTAGTGGCCACTGCTTAAACAGAGTAAATCTGGAAGGTAAAGTGATGGAAAACAGAAAATATTGAAAACATCAGCATTTTCTGTCAGCAAGACATAGAAGGATTATGCTTGAGAAGGGATTAGACAAAAAGCACATAAAAAGTCACAGAGTGCTAAAACTTTTGGAGTTAGACTAGATTATCTCTGTTGATTTTTATCTATGGCATTTTTAAACTTCATTTTTCTTATCTGTAAAGTAATAATATCTGCATTCCTGAGCATCTAACATTACAGGAGGTAACTTAACTATCAGGCTTCTAACATTAAACAAGATAATCAAAACAGCAGTCTTAGCACAGTACCTAGGTCTAATTAATTATATCTATTTTATTGGTATTTACAGAAGCCATTGGTGTCCATTTGCATTTAAGAGAGGGGAATTTCTAAGGAGGTTATAATTTTACTAAATACTTGTGAGATGCATTGTGGAGAAAGAGGAAATAGGATATGTACATTGTAAAAATTTGATTTCTAATATTTAATAAAACACACATGGAAAAGTGAACCAATTATAAGCATTCAGATCAATGGAATTTTATAAAGTACACTTTTCTGTATAGTCAGCACCAAAATCTGGAAGCAGAATATTAAGAAAACCTCAAAACCCTCCTCAACTTCCTAACCAAAGAAACCAGCTTCTAATATTATAGATCTGTTTGTCTGTTTGTAACCTTTATATAAAAGGACTCATATAGACTGTATTCTTGTGACTGACTTCTTTCACACAACAATTTATTTGTGTGATTTACTCACATTGTGTGTGGTGCAGCAGTTCATTCTCCTTCTTTGTATTACATTCCAGTATGTAAATATCTCACAATATGATTATTCATTTTACAGTAGATGAATATCTGAAAATTATGAATTTGAAATATCTGGAAATTGTGTTTTCAATCCCAGACTTAATGATAAAATAAGAATTGCTCCTCATAAATTTTATGTGCAGGTACCCTGGATAAGCATAAAGAGTTGGAGGATCTCTTGGCCAAGTTTCTGAATGTAGAAGCAGCAATGACCTTTGGGATGGGATTCGCAACAAACTCAACAAACATCCCTGTACTAGTTGGGAAGGTGAGAATTTGTTAGCATAATTATCTTCTAGCATATTATTCCTAAGAATTATAACTCTGAGCAGATCCACAGTTAGAAGTATGACTGAGAAAGTCTTTTCTTACAAGAACTTGATTGGACATTCAGATTTTTAAATAAGTGTCCAGCTGAGTCCAGAAAATCTCTTTATCATGATGTTCCCAGTTATGGAACTGCAGGCTGACATGTGGGTCACATTTCACTTCAGTGACAGTTTATCAAAGTCAAAGTTTTATCTTCTTCAGACTCCATTTGCAGTGTAGCAGACATTTATTAAACATTTATTTTTATAAAACTTTTTTTCTATCTTATCCATTCACTTACTCATTTAATCAACCATTCATTGAATATACTATGCTCTGGCATGAAACCAGATATAAGACATACAAAGATGAACAAGGCCTATTCCTTGTAAATTTATGTAGTTTGCAAGCTAGTGAAGGAGGTATATGAAAAAACAACCATGCACATACATGACAGGAGAAAAAACAGTTGCCCCTAGCATCCTCTTGAGCATGTCTGTTATGCAAAGAGGGTGATATAAGAAGAGAAGTTTAACAGACAGGTAAGTTATTTCCTTAGCACAAAGTTGAAGGCACCATGTGTGCAAAGTAGAGAGCTTTGGAAAAACTACAACACAGGATAGGAGACAAAGAAGAGACAGGATATTCAAAAAAAAAAAAGAAAAAGAAGAGACAGGAGTTGAAGGCTAGTGGCCAATCCCAAAGAGTTTTACAGTGTAAGTCATTCCAGGGTGCTTGAAATTGTTTCTGAGAAAAGTGGAAAGCTGGTTAATTAAGGTAAGCAAGTGCAATAATCAGATTTTTATTTTTAAAAGCTTGAATGACAACTAAGTGTGATGTGTGATCTTATATTGGGTTCAACACTGAGAAAAACGAAAGAGAATATCTATAAAAGATATTAAAACAGTACTAGAAAAGTTAAGTAAATCTGAATTATATATTATATGACAGCACTGTATAAATATGGAACTTCTTAGATAGGAAAATTTCATTATAGTTTTGTAGAATGTCCTTGTTCTGAGGAGACATGGCTAAAGAATAAAGAGGTGAGGTATTATAAGGTTTGTAATAACTCCTAAATGTTTCAATAGAAAAATTATTAATATACAAAAATGTCTACAGTGTGGAGACATGAGAATTTTACTCAGACACAAAATACATTATGAGTACCAAAATATAAGAACTCAAAGATTCTGAGTGGCCACAAAAGACAAAAGTCTGCCATGACTTATCCCTGCATTTTTGATATATTGGAACAGTTCCATAATTTACAAATTTTAAAATCAAAAAGGAAAAATTTACAGACAGTAATTAATAAGCAGGACACTAGAATAACTTTTACCACTCAATCTCAAACTATGAACTGGCATCCACTCTTCCAAATTCAAAATTTTTAAGTATAAAGCAGGGATGTTTCTGTTTTCATGGGATGGTAATATATTGGAGAAGGAGCCTGATAGAGCAAGAGTTTGAAATGCTCTGCTGAAAAAGACCCTTCCTCCCAAAATCAATAACTAAAACCATCCCAGCCAATCTGGTATAGATTGAACACTCCACCCCCAGCAAGTCCATAGCCCTCTCCCAAAGAAGTCAAAGATCAATCTAGCTGGTGCTTAACCAAGATCTTGGATGAACTTCTCTGTTGAAAACTACAGCATTTTTAAAGGTTCCTGTAAAGATTGAATCTCATAAGAAAATTCCAGCATTTCATCACTCCCAGCACAGAGGAAGGGGCTTCTGGGCCACCATTCCACCACTCCCAGCACCGAGGAGGTGAGCCACATGGGTGCCAACAGAACCCCCTGCCGTCGAAATGAGAAGACACGTAAACAAGTCTCAAAACCAGACTTCCATATCATGTACAGCAACCTCAAAGGGAAATGAAATGGAACACTCTGATACTCAACCACCTGAAATCCCTGAACTGGCAACAAAAGAGCATGTGGAAAAAATTAAATCAGAAAAAATTTCTCAGAAAACAGCAGAGATTGTTCTCATAGTGCAAGACATGATTAATAAATCTAGAGAGGAACAGGGGAACATGATGGAATCCCAAAATAGGAAACAAATGGAATCCATAAAACAGATGGAAACATATTTCCAGGACATTAAAAACTCCTTTGAAAGTCTACACAGCAGAATAAGTCAATGTGAGGACAGAATTTCAGATATAGAAGATAAGATTGCAATTAGTGACCAGGAAAAGAAAAATTGCTTCAAAATT